ATCCTCCCTCTTTTTATAATTTTCGTTGATCACATTGGTAGAAGGAGAGGGGGATTGGAAAGGGGGCAGTGGGAAAAAGGTTACTACCACAAGCAGCAGCAGCAGCAACAGCAGCAGCAACAGCAGCAGCAGCAATAGCAACAGCAATAGCAACAGCAGTAGGACCCAGCAACGATGGCTGCAACAGCGACGACAGCAGTGCGACGGCGGCAATTTGCAAAGCCTCACAAGGGCATTCCCGGTCCGTATCCCTCGAACTCCTCCTGCTCCTCCTTCCTCCTTCCTCCCTGTAGTACCCGCTGTGAATGTATCCCGCTCCTTGTTTGGGAGTTGCCTGCCTGCATGTGCCGGCATAGTAGGCAGCACTTTCTTCCATTTTTTTCTGCTTAATAAAAGAATTCCCTCGAATGTTTATCGTCCGCTGTGCCCATCCAAAGTGGCATTACTTCTCTGCAATGTTCATTTACATTCTTTTTTTTTTCCTTCCTTCCTTTCTTTCGTTCTCTTCTTTTTTCTATTCTTTCTCTGTTTAACCAAATTTTTTTTTTGCACGCTTTTTTTTCATTTTCTGTTTTTTTTTTCGCTTTAAATGTAGAAATATTTTAGAAAAAACCGAAAAAGCATGAATGAATGAATGGATGAATGAATGAATGAATGAAAAAAAATTTCCAAAATAAACTCTATTAACTTTAACCTAAAATAATCGAAAATAAAAATTCCGACAAACTTTAAAGTATTTTTTTTTTCGTTCATGACTATTGTTTTTTTTAATGCATGAAAAAAAAACAACAACAACAAATAACACACTTATTTTTATCTGTTTAGAAAAAAACAACGAAACAGAAGCAGAAATGAAGTTTGAAAATCGAAAAAAAACTACAACTATGTTCAAATAGCAACACCAAAACCAACCAACATCGCCAATAACAAATATTAACAACAGATCACTGCAACAAACGGAAGACAATTTTTAAAAAAAAAATTATTTTTTTCCAGAGCTCAAATTGTTCCGCAAAATCGATAACAGACATAGCGAAAAAAACAAACGAAAAAAAAAAAGAATTGAAATCAAAAAGAAAAAAAAGATTCAGCTTTTAAAAGTCGATATGACCAAAAATAAACCAAGAAATTCATAAAATAAAATTGGAGATAGAAAATGCAAAGAAACTGAAATGACTAAGCTAAAAAAAAAAAAAAGAAAAAGAGAGAACAGAACTCTAATGTCCCAATGTTTCACCTTTTCCCAATTTGTCCATCTGTTTTTGATGCTCCCAAACTTTCTTCTGTCTATGTACATTTTTTTCCTCGGTTCCACAATTCATCTTTTCATCCCTCCTACGCCCCTTTTGCTCTTCCCACTTAGATCAACAGCATTGAACGAAAAATGCAAAACTGGAAGAAGGAATGGAAGAAGAAGAAGAAAAGGAGTAAAAAGGAGGGAAAAAGATTGAAATAAGAAAAAAAAAACATCTGAGAAGACAGCGAGCTAAAATAGAAGATGAAATGCAGTGATTGAACAAAGACATTTGGTACATCGGAAACTTTTTCGCGGATTCCACTTATTCCCATAGCTTAAACCTCACTTATCACACTATCGACCAAATTCACCAAAACATTATTTTGTCCACATTTTGTTACTGCCATCTTTCGTGATTATCATTCCTTCACAGAAAACAATTTTCGACAAAAATCAAAGAAACGGATAACAAAAAAGTAGACAAAGAATAAATTGTTTGTGGTACTTTAACAGGTTTTTTTTTTCGTCTTCTATTCTCTACAAACCGTCATGCTGTCATGATGACAGTTATCGGAGAAAAATATTTCTGTAAGTTTTTAATTTGAACAGGACAATTCAACGACATTAAACTAGTTTCCTTCACCACCATCGAGACTCTCCGCTGTTTCTCGCAGCTGGCTTCCCTTTTCACTAGACAGTAGCATCAAGAAAAAAAAACGATAAAATGTTGTAAAACAAAGCACATAACTTATCGATTTTACTTTTTTCCATATCAAACTTTTGATTTGAATGATTTCATGCAAAAAAAAAAAAGCAGAAAACTTGTCTCTCAAAGGAAGAAATGCCGATGTTTAATGCAACATTTAATGATACTGATAATAAAGACGATGATGTAGACGTTGATATCAATTATGACGATGATGATGATGATGATGATGATGATGATGATCGCTATGGTGTTCTTCAAAGTGTTCGCCAATACTTTACGTTCGGTATTCAATAGTTTCCCACTGTTTCATTCCCTCACACCCCCCAAGAAACCTGATATTCACTCCAAAAAGCTCCTGGCACCGTGATAGTTAAACGTAACTTTATACCAGATAATTTTTTCTGTCTTATTTTCTTTCTCTGCCCCTTCTCCTTCATCGTTTAAGGTGTCTGCTTTCGTTTTTCAACCTGGTAAAGCGCATGTACATTCATCGCACAAAAAAAGCTCCTTGTAAAAAAAATGGTAAAGAAAAAAAAAAGATTTAAAAATGGAATAGACAACATACTAGAGTTCTCACAACAATTTGAATTTGTTTTTGTTTTTACTTTTTTTCTTTTTTAAAAAGAACTTAAAGAAAAAAAATTTCATTGCAAATTGCTATCGACAGGAAACCATACAGTGAATAAGAGGATGGATAGAAAATGGGAGAAAAAAGACTTCTTCTTCTCCTTCTTTTTCTCATTCTTCGTTTTCAATATTTCCCATTCGGTGTTCAAAACTTCCAATAAATCTATTCAGGACAATAACTACATCAGGAAAAATAGAAGTAAATGTACTAAGAGCCATCCATCTATATACTGCACTTAAACAGTTCCTTACATATAAAGCAGAAAATAAATAAACGAGAAAAAATTGTAGTAATAATCGTAGTAGAGAAGAAGAGAAAGAAGAAAAAGAAGAAGAAGAAGAAAAAGAAAAGGAAGAAGAAGAAGAAGGAATAGAAGAAGTAGAATCAGCAAAACAGCTTCAAAATAGTTACCTTGCTTCAAAAAGTTATTGATTTTGAAGCCAGAAAAGAAAATAAACAAACAAATAAATAAACAATCAAAATACCAATTTTCTTTTCAACAGTTAAATGCTTCAAATGCAATTTAAAATCTACTTTTTTTTTTTTTTGTTTTTTTTTGCAAATGCCAAAGATGC